CCCCTCTCCTCACGCCCCAGGAAACAAAGAGAGAAGGAAAAGTCTCCTGCTTCTTCGGCAGGTGCAGGCTTTTCCCCGGACTCCCTCCCGGCTAATTGTGGTGCACTAACCCCTTCAGGCTATGTTCAAGCCGCCAACCCCAGTCCTCTCCCTGCGCTCCGGTCTCAGCTCGCAGCCCCGCCCGCCCCGGCGGGTGAGCAGACAAGCCTCTCGGGCTGGTGAGTGCCGGTCGGCACCGATCCTCTGTGCGGGAATCTCCCCGCTTTGCCCTCCGCACCCGTTGCTGTGCTCTCCTCCGCGGCTCCGAAGCTCCCCCCTCCGCCTCCCGCAGTCTCCGCCCGCGAAGGGGCTTCCTAGTGTGTGGAAACTTTTCCTCCTTCACAGCTCCCTCCCACTGGTGCAGGTGCCGTCCCTATTCTTTTGTCTCTGTTTTTTCTTTTGCCCTACCCAGGTACGTGGGGAGTTTCTTGCCTTTTGGGAGGTCTGAGGTCTTCTGCCAGCCTTCAGTAGGTGTTCTGTAGGAGTTGTTCCACGTGTAGATGTATTTCTGGTGTATCTGTGGGGAGGAAGGTGATCTCCGCGTCTTACTCTTCCGCCATCTTCCCCGGGTCCGCTTATACTGTTTTATTTTTCTATCTTGTATGATTTTAAATTGAAAGTCAAGTTGATGTCCAGTTCACTCTTTATATTTATCAAGGTAAATGTGAAAGAATATACTTTAAAACCCAGAATTACACAGAAATTAGCAGTAGTCTTATACCAATCTATTGTTAAATATCCAGAAAGCTTTGATATTTTTTAGAGATCATTAGAGTGGCTGATAATATTATACCAAATAAAGTTTTGATCTATAAGGATGTGGATGCATTAAAGGTTCCAGGGCTACTTATTTAGAAGGTGTCAGTACATGTTTATTGTAGGGGAATAAAATGTGCCACCTGGAAATGTGTCTCATTGGCATGAGGATTATTAGGCTGATTATTATTTTTTTTTAAGTAAAGTTATTTATTTATTTTTGGCTGCATTGGATCTTCGTTGCTGCGTGCGGGCTTTCTCTAGTTACTGCGAGTGGGGGCTACTCTTCGTTGTGGTGCGCGGGCTTCTCATTGCGGTGGCTTCTCTTGTTGCGGAGCATGGGCTCTAAGCGCATCGGCTTCAGTAGCTGTGGCATGCAGGCTCAGTAGCTGTGGCTCGCAGGCTCTAGAGCACAGGCTCAGTAGTTGTGGTGCATGGGCTTAGTTGCTCCACGGCATGTGGGATCTTCCCGGACCAGGGCTCGAATCCATGTCCCCTGCGTTGGCAGGCAGATTCTTAACCACTGCACTACCAGGGAAGCCCTAGGCTGATTATTTTTAAGAAACAGAAAGCTCAGGAAGTTTTTTCTTGTTACCACCCTCTTAGCTGCTTAAAAAAATTTAGATAAAGTGATTGTTCCTGGAATAGGACTATAACCAGAGATATGTGCAAAGAATATGGGCTAAAGTGGTGGGAGCGGTGTGTGTGTGGGGGAACTTGGCACGGCCTAGAGATCAGAGTCTACTCTGAGTCTCATTATCTCTGCCTGGCCCAGCAAGCATTTTTCAAACATTTGTTTTTCCACCTCCATGTAAATTACCTTCCTCCCCTTTAAAGTCCCAAACCACTACCCTCAACATACCTCCTTTGTCTTTAGCTGAAAATGGTATTTAAGGGGAGTGCTCTGACCATTTTGGGAGTTACTCAGTTTTCCTGGGTTTTTCCCACATAAACATGTTATTAAAATTGGTTTGATTTTCTCCTGTTAATCTGTCTGATGTCAATTTAATTCTTAGACCAGCTATAAGAATTTCCAGAGGGAAATTTTTCCTCCCTGACATTATTAGCTTGATAAATTATTAAAAGTCATGCTTTCCTAGTTAATTTAGTATATTCTGAATTGATACAAAAGTAAGCTAGTTATTTTTATGATAGAAATTATTTTTATTTAAATTTTCGTATTTTAAAATTAATAACACAGGTCAAAGCACTTTTGAAATAGAGCTTAGGAAATATCCAAAGCTTAATTTTTCTTCCAGCTATTTCTCTTGAATAGCATTGACCCATCTCCCCTATAATCATTTAATACATTTTTTAAAATATTTATTTATTTATTTGGCTGTGCTGGGTCTTTAGTTGCAGCACGCAGGATCTTCATTGCCTCTTCATTGTGGCGTGCGGGATCTTTGGTTGTGGCATGCAGGCTCTTCGTTGTGGCATGCGGGATCTAGTTCCCTGACCAGGGATCCAGCCTGGGCCCCCTGCATTGGGAGCATGGAGTCTTAACCGCTGGACCACCAGGGAACTCCCAATGCCTTTTCTTTTCTTTTTTTTTTTTTTTTGTGGTATGTGGGCCTCTCACTGTTGTGGCCTCTCCCGTTGCGGAGCACAGGCTCCAGACGCACAGGCTCAGCGGCCATGGCTCACGGGCCCAGCCGCTCCGCAGCATGTGGGATCTTCCCGGACCGGGGCACGAACCCGTGTCCCCTGCATCGGCAGGTGGACTCTCAACCACTGCACCACCAGAGAAGCCCCCAATGCCTTTTTAATAAACAGAAATTAATTTATTTTTCTTTGAGAAAGTGAAAACTGATATACCGTACATTTTTCTCCAAAGTGTCTAAAATGAGTGGATTCTATTCAATAAAAAAGAAAATATTTAAGAAATAAAAACATGTGTATAAAGAAACATATATAAAGATTAGCAGAACATGAATTAAAATATTAACAATGGTTACCACTGGGTAGTATAATTAATGTGACTTTTCTTCATATCTTCTCCCTGCATTTTCCAAATTTGCCCTAATGAGCCCATTCTTATTATAAACATTTGAAAAAAAAATGACCAACTTACAAACAGAAATCCTAGGCAACACTTTTTTCCTTTAAATAGTTAGACTATTTATAAAATCCTAAGTGTAGCTTTCCCCTGACTAGATAATGTGTGCTTTCTGCACAAGAGAAGAGGGTGAAGGGGTGACCGTAATCCAAGCTAAGAGGAAGGTGCTCCACTAGGTACTGGTAGAGGTTCAGCATCTTCAAGTGCACATGTTTGCATCTCTGTGAAGTCACTTCAAAGATTTTATGAGTCTCAGACCTTATTCTGTTGAAATGAATTGGCTCTTTTCCAATCAACATTTTAATTGGAGGTGTTCTCCAGCTTTATAGTACTTTGTCAAGGAAGGACACTGAAATAACAAGATATTTTTATTTAGATGACAGCGTGGTCAACAACTGAACTACCCAGAATTTATATGCTGATAATCATGATGCTAGCATTGCACATAAATTACAAGTTTTAAAAGAAGTGTTTACTTGGACTTCCCCGGTGGCACAGTGGTTACAAATCCACCTGCCAATGCAAGGGACACAGGTTCGAGCCCTGGTCTGGGAAGATCCCACATGCCATGGAGCAACTAAGCCCATGCGTCACAACTACTGCGTCTGTGCTCTAGAGCCCATGAACTACAACTACTGATCCTACACACCTAGAGCTCATGCTCCACAACAAGAGAAGCCACCACAATGAGAAGCCTGTGCATGGCAACAAAGAGTAGCCCCGGCTCACCACAACTAGAGAAAAGCCCACGTGCAGCAACGAAGACCCAACACAGCCATAAATAAATAAATAAATAAATAAAAGAAGTGTTTACTGTCCTCTGTTGTGGCTGCTATGTCAGGCACAAAAAAGTATAGCATTGCCAACTACCAATTGGCACTTGCCATCTACCTCTACAAGGATTAAATCATGAGCTGCTGCAGCTGCTGACTTTCAACATCCCCTGAAAGGAGTTCAGGGTGGAGATCGGGAATGAGGCGCTCTGTGCTTTGGAAAAAACTGGCAGAACAGGCCTTCAGATAGTTAGATATTTTCAGGAGAAGATTATATGAGATTTTATTTTTATTCTTGCATCTCCTCCTATCTAGGTAAGTACTGAAAGTTTTCATGGTGATGTCTGCTCCTTGTAACTAGCAGCAACCTTCACAAGACCAGCAGCAGCCTTCTGCAAAAATGTAGGCTTGACTGCATATACGCCCCCACCCCCAAAATCACATATATACTGACCTGCCCCCCTGCTCTTCGTAGCGATTTCTCAGAGATATCTGAATGCTGTCTCCCGGGTGTTAGTCCTCATTTTGCCCCCAATAAAACTTAACTCACAACTCTCACGTTGTGCGTTCTTTTCAGTCGACATCATAAATCGATGAGACTAACAATAACTTGACCTTTCCTCATTGCTTCTTTTGTCAAAGGAAGAGTTCTCAGAATTGAGCAAGTGGGCTTCCCTGGTGGTGCAGTGGTTAAGAATCTGCCTGCCAATGCAGGGGACACGAGTTTGAGCCCTGGTCCGGGAAGATCCCACATGCCGTGGAGCAAGTAAGCCTGTGCGCCACAACTACTGAGCCTGCGCTCTAGAGCCTGCGGGCCACAACTACTGAGCCCATGTGCCTAGAACCTGTGCTCTGCAACAACAGAAGCCACCACAATGAGAAGACTGTGCACTGCAGCGAAGAGTAGCCCCTGCTCGCTGCAACTAGAGAAAGCCCCGCACACAGCAACAAAGACCCAACGCAGCCAAAAATAAAAAAAAAATTAAAAAAAAGAATTGAGCAACTAAATAAAAAGAGCCTCATTCTGGAACACACAAAGGTCCCTCATAACACATAAAATGATTCCTTGAGTCTCTTTTCTGATTGATGGTTTTGTAAGAGGAAATAAACAGGAGCTCGAGGTTTGGAGGAGGGTCAGCTTCAGATAGCATGTCCTCCTCCCCTACTCGCAGTAAGATTGAAAGAAGTTACTGTTTAGTTCAAGATATCCAAATGCTCCCTTGGCCATGCTGAAGCCTCTCCTGTTTCTCAAGGCCAGGAACACTGTTCCTGTACTAATGGACACCCCTGATGAGGCTCATCAGCTCACCTGTCACTCGCAGTTATTACTGCCACTGGATCCCTCATCATTGTTTTCCTTCCACCTCACAAGACTTCCCAACATCATGTGTTACGTGCATCACTGAATATTCTCATGTCCTTTAACATGGTTCTGTGACACTGGAGATGGCTATATTGCCCTCTCTGCCCCTGCACCTGGTCTGGGTGCACAGGTCGTAATTTTTTACAGACTCTAACTCACTCGTTGTCAACCATATGTTGCCACAAATGATTAACCTTACTCCTGTGAAATACTGTGGCCAAAATTCCAATTTTAAAAGGGAAATTTGAGACAATTTCATTAAGGAATTCCTACCTGTTTTTAAAAAGGCGATCAACGGTCAATGTGCACAGATTGAGATGCACCTTGAGCAAATGCTTGGGTTCCAAAAGAAAAAGAAAAGCTTACTATTCTCAAAGGTTCATAGCATAAATGCACAAAAATGTAGGAAAGCTTTGAAAAGAAACTGCCTGTGCAGAGCACTGACAGTCATCACCCCAAAATCACTGGAAACAACAATCCAAGAAAAAAACCACAAAGGCGTTTCCAGCTCCTGAAGTACATTCCATCTCCTTTTTATCAGTGATCCAACTAGTGCCATAGCATATTCAAATCCTACTTTCATTTTCAACATTTGAGTTGTTGAAAACGTTTTGAATTCAGTTTATGTATTAGGTACCTGATATTTTCCTGATTTGTTTGCAGAGTATGAGGATGGACACCACTGCCTTCTTTGGGATGCAGATGGATAACTGCTTCTTTCAAGTTTTCATCTGTATTGTTGCTAATTGACAATGGAGAAAAATAGGAAAAATATTTTAAATATATAACTTTCAGTGTTGAAAGAAATGAGTAGCTTTCATTTTGAAATTTAGGCCATACTTTACTTCAAGTTTCTCAAATCTTTGAAGATATCTAAAAAGAAAAACCAAATCCCACATTTCAAGTCTAAGTAAAAACTTGCATTAGGAAATAATAAAAAAACCATCCTATTCATTGTGTCAGAAGATTCTAACTTGCTTATAGACAAGTGTCCATACTTAAAATGACACATTTCACTATTTCCAATGTAATTTTGATTAGTAAATATTGTTCACCACAATACTGTGACATTTAGTTAGGCTTCACAATCTGAATGGCTTTGCACTGCAATTTTACACAAGGCTTCTTTCTTTCCATGTAGTGAAGATGTAAGTTTTGTTTTCTGTACCGTTAATACCCACAGTTAGGAGAGCAGCAGTAGTTTTCATGAAGGTATATAGAACTGAGAGTATACAGAAGTACTTAATTACTTTTAAATGTCAATAATAACAATCATGTGTAAATAACAATAAATAGAGTTCACTTTTCTGACATTCACCATATGTGAGAACCTGTGTTAAGTGAGGTAGAATCTATTATTTTCCCTATTTTGTAGGGAAGGAAAGTAGAGTTTAGACAGGATATGTATCTTCTGCTGTCTGCTGTCTGCCCTCTGGTGGATGAGGCTATCTAAGAGGCTCGTGCACGTTTCCTGATGGGAGGGACTGGTGGTGGGTAGAGCTGGCTGTTGCTCTGGTGGGCAGAGCTCAGTAAAACTTTAATCTGCTTGTCTGCTGATGGGTGGGGCTGGGTTCCCTCCCTGTTGTTTTTTTGGCCTAAGGCGACCCAACACTGGAGCCTAGCTGGGCTCTTTGGTGGAGCTAATGGTGGATTCTGGGAGGGCTCACACCAAGGAGTACTTCTCAGAACTTCTGCTGCCAGTGTCTTTGTCCTCACGGTGAGGCACAGCCAACCCCCACCTCTGCAGGAGACCCTCCAACACTAGCAGGTAGGTCTGGTTCAGTCTCCTATGGGGTCACTGCTCCTTTTTCTCAGTCCCAATGTAGACACTACTTTGTGTGTGCCGTCCAAGAGTGGAGTCTCTGTTTCCCCCTGTCCTGTCAAAATGTTGCAATCAAATCCCGCTAGCCTTCAAAGTGTCATTATCTAGGAATTCCTCCTGCCATTGCCGGACCCCCAGGTTCAGAAGCCTGACGTGGGGCTCAGAATCTTCACTCCAGTGGCTGGACTTCTATGGTATAAGTGTCCTCCAGTTTGTGAGTCACCCACCCAGTGTGACTGGGTGGGATTTGATTTTATTGTGGTTGCGCCCCTCCTACAGTCTCATTGTTGCTTCTCCTTTGTCTTTGCATGTGGGGTATCTTTTCTGGTGAGTTCCAGTGTCTTCCTGTTGATGATTGTTCAGCAGTTAGTTTTGATTCTGGTGTTCTCAAAAGAGGGAGTGAGAGTGGTCATTCTACTCCTTCATCTTGAACCAATCTCAAAGATTATTATCTTTTTAAAATACCCATGCAAAACCTTAATTCTTCCACACTGACAGCCTGGGTATGTGTGCCAGTGGGACACACTTTCTAACTTCTCGTGCCCTGATAGGGTCAGTGTATAGAGGTTGGAGTCTGAAATGTTTTAGCAAAACAAGGATACCAACATTCTCATCAACACCCTTGTAAAAATTCCTTCTATTTTCTCTTTTGCAAAATTTGAGTCCTTCATAAATTCTATGCTTTTAAAAAAAGTGTTCTTCTTATCATATATATTTTTTTAAAGAAAGTAACAGACACAAAATGGAACCATTTGATCCCAAGACTTAATTGCAGTTTTGACCTGCAGAAATTAATCTTAATCAACCAGTCTGAAATTTTCTGGTCAGCATCAATAAGGTAATCTGTTATGTAGGTCCTCTCCACCTCCCAGAGGAAGAAGAGGTAATCAATTTCATAAATCCTTGCTGTCTAACACCTCTGCCCTGCCTCCAAAGAAGATGTCCTGATTTAAAAATAATCCTTGTTTCCCTGAATAGCTCCTTTGCCCCACCCTTCTTCCTATGAAAACCTTCCGTTTGTACAACTGCTCTGTGCATCCTTCTAGTTGCTAAATGGGATGCTGCCCAATCCATGAATCTTTTAATAAAGCCAATTAGATCTTCAAGTTTACCCAGCTGAATTTTTTTGTTTTTAATAGTATAAATCCTTCTTTATGCCTAATATGTGTCATCAGCCTTCTTTATAAGAATTATCACCTCTGTTTATGCAGTACTTCTTTTTTGAGGTTTTCTTTGTAAAAAGTTAATCCCCATAAACCAAAAATAAATAGAGTTGAGGGACCAGAAGGGGGAGTTCTCCTGCCCTAGGAAGACAACAGAGACTAGCAGGAAGAAGAAAGACTCCTTTTCTTTCCTGGAAAGGGCTCAGCCAATGAAAACTCATGGACTCTTTGTTTACTACAGCCTGCCCAACTTCCTTTTCCTCCCAAGAAAAGCACTCTCCTTCCCTTGTCATGCAGGGACTTGCATATGACTCACCATGGTTGCAGACTTCAAATTGCTATTCTCTGTGGATTCCAAATAAACCCATTTTTGCTGGAGAAATAACTGGCAGTCTATCTGTTTTAGGTCAACATCTTTTACATCTCTTTGGCTTCCAAGAAGCAGCAAATAGAGTTATAAACATATTCTAGGAGAATATGGCCGTACTTACCCTTTTTTGCGCTTTAGAATTATCAAACAGGAAACAATGACAGGTAAAATCAAGAGGATCATACCAAAGAACATGCCTAGGCAGTAAAACATGGTAATTAATGCATGGAAAATATAAACTGTAGGTTTCAAACTGTGTCTTAATGAGTTTTTAAAAAGTAAGTATAGGGCTTCCCTGGTGGCACAGCGGTTGACAGTCTGCCTGCCGATGCAGGGGACACGGGTTCGTGCCCCGGTCCGGGAAGATCCCACATGCCGCGGAACGGCTAGGCCCGTGAGCCATGGCCGCTAAGCCTGCGCGTCCGGAGCCTGTGCTCCGCAACGAGAGAGGCCACAACAGTGAGAGGCCCGCGTACCGCAAAAAAAAAAAAAAAAAAAAAAAACAATAAAAAGTAAGTATAAATTCTGTTTTTAAAACACGCCCCCCACAGGCTTATCTTTAAGATTTCCCCTCTGCTCCAGGTTTAATCTAGCATATTAGTCTTATTACCCCAGGGTTATAAATGAGCAGTGAGAGAGCAGTTTGTGACCTTTGTCCAACAGCAGCATTTCAATAAGTGGGTGAGAACAAGCACTGGAGCTCCTCTGCTCAGCTCGCCATGACCCTGCATGTCTCTTGTGTGAGGCGCAAGGCACGAGCTACTCTATGCAGCAGACTCTACTGATTCTCTTAGAAACTCTACCACAAAACTATTCCTCTCACATAGGCAGATCACAGAAATGGGCTTAGAAAATTTGTCTTTGTGGCTTTCAATTTATGCAAATGGACATGACTACCATCCTGAAGACTATTCCCAGGTTATAAACTAAAGAGCAAGTTGCCTTCTCCAGACACATTAAAATAGGAAGAATGCTTCTTTTTTTATAATGGTTCAAAGATAGTAAGGGAACTTTGATAAAGGACACTCACTCTATATGCATATAAGGATACCAGTTTTGCTACACTATGGCCTGAATTCATTATTCTTTTCTTTCTAATTAAAATTGCAGTCTAGGATATTTTGATCTCTCTTTTTACATTTCACTTATTATCAGTGGATACCTACTGTTAAGGATGTTTTCTCAGCAAACCCTTCATAAAACTTACCAGCTATGAGCTCATCACTCGTGCCTAAAAGGAAGCAAAAGCCACAAAAAACATCAGTCTGGCACACAATATGATCAAACAGGAGCTCTCAGCCAGTTATAATTCATCCTGATTTTTTTCTGTACAGATTCTTAACTTTTCTCTAATATAAAAAGCCATTGGTTTTAGTCACACAATCTCATATTATTTTGTGTACGCAGCAAAGTCTGTTTTTTTCTTTTAAAATTACTGTTTTGTCATAAAAGTAGTATAATTAGAGCAGAGAGTTTATAAAACAGAACAAAAGAAAAATATCATCCATAATCCTACTATCCTGAAATACTTTAGTACATTCCCTTCTAGTACATTTTCTCATGCATCTAAGTTTTTACATAGTTATAGAATATCTAATCTTTGAACAGTTGAATTAAGTGCTCAACATATGTTAACTTTTACAACCTTTATTATTACCACAACCAACACTACTGCTATGTGTATAACATTATTAACACTTCATTATATTTTTAACATATTTCTCATCTGTCTACTGCTTTCTTATTTACTTTTAAAAGTTCATAAGTTCTAAGTCAAATTTGTTGACCTTTTATAATTTTCTCTATCATATCAAAATTTTCCAAAAGTTGTTTTTCTTTTTCTAGCTGTTTTATCTTCTTTTTTTTCCTTTTCTACTTTAGCTTTCCTATGTTGACTTTTAAAACTTTTAACTATTTATTAAATCTGGTATTTATTGTAAGATATAAAGAAAGGTTCCAAATTTTTTCAGTGCTACGTATACTATTTGATCATCTTTTTCTTCCCCTTGGATTGATGGTGTCTCCGTTATTAGATTGTTTTCTGTAAGATACTTTAATTTCTATTTATACTAGCTCTATTTAATTAATATCTACTTTATTCCATTTTTAATAAAGATAAGTCTATTTTCGGTGATATAAAATGATTTATGTATTGTGACTTTCTATTTTAATATCTGGCAGGTCAGTCCCCCGACATTATGTGAATTTTCTGTCTCTCACAGCCACATCGTTAGAATACTCAAAAGACATTCAGATAGGCAGTGATCTTTTTGCCAAAGAAATGAATATAATTTGATATTAAGGGAGTATCAAGTTTATAATTTAGAAATATTATTTGCGAGTGAGCTTTGTTAATGCATTTAAGGCATTAACTGTAAAAAAATTGTATCTTGAACAGTCTTGGTATTCAACCACATAATTTAAGTAAGAGTGATAAGAATGGGGGAGAAGAGAAGGCTAAGACTAATTTAGATTAAGGAAGGTTATTCATTATTCATTTTGCTCATCTGTTACTTGATGTGTACAAGTTTAAGGTTTAGGATTTTCTATTTTACATCACCCTCTAGTTGCCAGCAGAAGGCTACCCTTCTACAGATCTCAATGACACATGATTCCTAAATCACTGTATCCAATGTACCAGGTTAAAATCCTGTAGTCTACACCAGTGTGGGAGACCGGCCAGCTAGTCTCTGCAAGTTGGAAGGTGATCCCCGACTCATGCTGAAAACATTCTTGAAGGCCTGCTCTACCACTAATCTGCTACTGAATTTTAAGACCCATAGGATGTAATCAAATTATTACTGTGCAATGTATGCAGCAATAGAGTGATAATGGGCAAAAAAGGTTCAGAGGAGTCCCTGAGGAGAGATGGATGGGTTAAGAAGTGTGAGGAGCAAGGCTTGCCTTATTCTCATTGCTAAGGGCTTTTGGGGAAGAATTAGGGACTCTTACTGCACTCCTTAGCTCTTAGCTAATGCACACCATATGGCACACCACCACATTCAGTGTCAGTACAGATGAATGAATGAACAGTAACCAGGGCTGGGAAGGACCTACATTCCTTGCACTTGCACTTACGAGAGGTACATATGGCCAGAGGAGGGTCCCACAGGTCATCTTCCTGGCACTGACTCCAGGGACTGCCTTCCAGAGTATACCCATCTTCACACTCCAAAGTTACATTATCTCCAGAGTGATATACTTTTCTTATTTTCAGTTCCTTCTTGATTCCATTCATAATCTGTGGGAGGCTACACTTTACTTCTGAAATTAGAAAAAGAAAAAAAGAAATTGATATTTTACCGTTAGTTGAAACTTTGCTTCTAGCAAAGATGAGTCATGTCTTCCATCAAAAATTATTGATACCTCTCCTACAACATCTTATTATTTAAAATTCTCTGACTTCCCTTTTTATGTAAAGCAAGGGAATATAAATATATTGCTTATAATTATTTTAAATTATCATACCTTAAATTATTGTTGACTCTTCAACAGGAAAGTTATGGAAAGGTTAGGAATTAGGATAACCATGTTCCAGCCTTGGAACCACTTGGGCCACACCATAAGAAAACAGGAATATCATTTTAACTCTCTTTAGGTATACAACGGGTATTTTGTCTCTTGAATAAATGCATATTTCTGGCTCATTTCTATACATAGAACAAAGAAATTAATAAATTATGATTCTGAATTTAAAGTATTAATTTTCTACTTAATTTTATCTCATTTACCTTGTAAAAATTAATAAATAGAAACCTTAAATTAAATAATTAAATAGAGTCTGGAGACCAGAAGGGGGAGCTTTCACACACTGTGATGACAGCAGAGCTCAACAGCAAGAAGAAAGACTCCTCTTCTTTCCTAGCAGCAAATCAGCAAGGAAAAGCCATGGACTCTTTGTTTGCTAGAGCCCTTACAACTTTCTTTTCCCTTCTGTTAAAACAGTTCTCCTTCCTTTGCTATGCGGGGACTTGCATGTGGCTCACCATGGCTGCAGACCCCAAACCGCAATTCTCTGCTGATCCCAAGCAAGACCATTTTTGCTAGAGAAATAACTGGCAGTCTATTTGTTTTCGGCGAACAAGCCCATCCTTTGTTTTGCTTTCTTTCTCTGCCTTGCCACTGATACCTTCCAAGCAAAGCCTGCTTTTCAGTTGTAATGGTCTCAAAATTAGACTAAGTTCTCTTTTTAAAATAAAAACCAACAAGGTAAAGTGGCATTTCTCAAAATATGGTCTGTGGTCCTGCTACATCAAAATATTCTGATGGGTTTGTTAAAAATAGACCTCTGGACTCTACCTCAACATATCAGAGAGTTCTTGAGAATGGAATTTAAGAATCTGTCTTTTTAGGGAAAGATGTTCAAGATGGTAGCAATAGGAAGACCCTAAACTCACCTCCTCCCATGGACACACCAAAATTACAACTACTTACAGAGCAACTACCTATGAAAATGACCTGAATGCTAGCGGAAAAAAAAAAATTTCCATAACTAAAGAGATAAAGAAGGAACCATAATGAGATGAATAGGAGAGGTAGAGACATGGTACAGTCAAGACCCACAGCCTTGGTTGGTGACCCACAAATGGGAAGAATATCACAATCATAAAGGTCCTCCCCGAGGAGTGAGGAGTCTGAGCACTTCACTGGGCTCCCCAGCCAGGGGTCCTGCTCCAGGGAGATGAGCCCCCTAGCTTTGAAACCCAGTGGGGCTTATGTTCGGGAGTGCCAGAGGGTTATAGGAAACAAAAATGTCACTCTTATAGGGCACGTGCAAAGTCTCATATGCTCCGAGTCCCAGCACAGAGGCAGTAGTTTGGAAAGAGCTTCAGTCCGACCTACTTGCTGATCTTGAAGAGCCTCCCAGAGAGGCAGCAGGCAACTGGGATTCCCCTTAGACACTGTTAGCAGCCACTCTGGGGAGCTCACTCTACCGAGATAACAACAGTGCTAGCAAATGCCATTTGGAAATCCTCCCTCTAGCCTATTCGTGCTGGAGGCTTACCACCACCAGTGGGCCTGTACCAGCCCAACCCAACCCAGACATGTACACAGCCATGTGGGGACCTGGCCCCACCCACCAGCAGGACAGCACCTGCCCTGAGTCCCTCTGGGCCATGCAGACAGCCACATAGGGACCTGGCCCCAACCTACGGTGGGCTTGCATGAGCCCTGAGCCCCCAGGGTCATGTAGACAGCCTCATGGGGACCCAGCCACTCATACTAGTGGCCCAGCACCAATGCTGAGCCCACCACCACCACCAGGCTATGCAGACAGCCACACAGGGACACAGTCTTACCCTTCAGTGGACCAGCATCAGCCCCACATCCCCCTGGGTGTGCAGCCAACCATGAAGGAAGCTTACCCAGCCCTCCAGTGGGCCCACAGCTACTGTACAAAGCATGGCCTAGCAGCCAACTTGGCTAGTTGTCAGCCCCACATACCAGTGTGCCCACAGTAGTTGATACCACCACAAAAGAAGGGCACAAGCATCACACATAGGGGGCGCCCATAGAGCATACAGCGTTCATGACCAAAGGGGAGCATGCTGCTGGAACCACGGGATGTTTCCTACCATGGGCACTTCTTCAAGATCAGGAAACATAATGGACCAACTTAACACACAGATATAAACACTGAATATTGGGCAAAATGAGGAAACAGAGGTGTATGTTCCAAATGATTGAACAAGACAAAATTTCCATAAAAGAAATAACTGAAGTGGAGGTAAGAAAACTACATGATAAAGAGTTCAAGGTAATGGTCATAAAGATACTCACTGAACTCAGGGGAAGAATGGATGAGCACAGTGAGAAGTTTAACAAAGGAATAGAAAATATAAAGAAGAACCAAACAAAGCTGAAGAATACAATAACTGAAATTAAAAATACACTAGAAGGAATCAACAGTAGATTAGATGATGCAGAGGAGTAGATCAGTGATTTGAAAGACAAAGTTATGGAAATCTCTTAAGCCGAACAGAAAAGAGAAAAAAGTTTTTTTAAATGGGGATAGTTTAAGAAACCTCTGGAACAATATCAAGCATACTAACATTCACATGATGGGGGTCCCAGAAGGAGAAGACAGAGACCAAGGGGCAGAGAACTTATTTGAAGAAATAATAGTGGAAAACTTCCTTAACCTGGGGAAGGAAACAGACATCCAAGTAAGGAAGTACAGAGAATCACAAACAAGATGAACCCAAAGAGATTTACACCAAAACACATACTATTAGAGTGGCAAAAAGTGAACGATTAAGAGGGAATATTAAAAACAGCAAGAGAAAAGCAACTAGTTACGTACAAGGGAACCTCCATAAGAATATCAGCTGACTCTTTAACAGAAACTTTGCAGGCCAGAAGGGAGTGGCACAATACAATCAAATGATAAAAGGGGAAAATCTACAAACAAGAATATTCTACCTGGCAAAGTTATCACTCATATTTGAAGGAGAGTTTTACAGACAAATAAAAACTGAAAGAGTTCAGCACCACTAAACTGGCTTTACAAGAAACGTTAAAGGAACTTCTTTAAGTGGAAAAGAAAAGGCCACAATTAGAAATGTGAAAATTATGAAAGAAAATATCTCACTGGTAAAGGCAAAATAGTAGATCAACTATTTATAAAGCTAGCAGGAAGGTTAAAAGACAAAAGTAGGGAAATCATCTATATACAAAATAAGTAGTTAAGGGATACAAAAAACAAAAAGATGTAAAATATGACATCAAAAATATTCAACATTGTTGTGGGAGGAGTAAATTTGCAGGGTTGTTAGAATACATTCGAACTTAAGAGATCATCAATTAATCATATATACATCTATATGTAATCATAGATGAGAGATAGATAGATAGATGATATATAGATAGATAGATAGATAGAGAGCTGTTATATATGAACCTCATGGTGACCACAAACCAAAACCTATAATAGATACACACAAAAAAAGAGAGAAAGAAATCCAAAAATAATGCTAAAGAAAGTCATCAAATTGCAAAAGAGGAGAGGAAAAGAAGAAAGAAGAACTACACAACAAAACAATCCCCCAAAATTAACAAAATGGCAATAGGTCCATATCTATGAATAATTACTTTAAATGTAAATGGACTAAATGCTCCAATCAAAAGACAAAGAAAGGCTGAAAGATACAAAGAACTCATACAACTCAACATCAAAAAAACAAACAATCCAATTAAAAAATGGGCAGAGGATCTGAATAGACATTTTCCAAAGAATACATACAGATGACCAGCAGGCATGTGAGAAGATGCTCAGCATCATTAATCACCAGAGAAATGAGAATCAAAGCCATAGTGAGATATCTCCTAACACCTGTCAGCATGGTTAATATCAAAAGAAACAAATAACAAGTGTTAGGAAGGATGTGGAGAAAAGGGAACTCTCATGCACTGTTGTTGGGAATGTAAATTGTACCCACTGTGGAAAACAGTATGAAGATTTTTCAAAAAATTAAAACTAGGGACTTCCCTGGTGGTGCAGTGGTTAAGAATCTGCCTGCCAATGCAGGGCACGTGGGTTCGAGCCCTGCTGTGTGAAGATCCCACATGCTGCAGAGCAACTAAGCCTGTGTGCCACAACAACTGAGCCTGCACTCTAGAGCCCATGAGCCACAACTACTGAGCCTGCATGCCACAATTACTGAAGCCTGCATGCCTAGAGCCCATGCTCCGCAACAAGAGAAGCCACTGCCATGAAAAGCACGCACACCACAACAAAGAGTAGCCCCCGGTCTCCACAACTAGAGAAAGCCTGCATGCAGCAACAAAGACCCAATGAAACCAAAATTAAATAAATTAATTAATTAAAAAAATTAAAACTAGAACTACCACATGACAGCAATTCCACTCCTGTGCATTCATCTGAAGAAAATGAAAACACTAATTAGAAAAGATATATGCACCCCATGCTCATTGTAGCATTATTCACAAAAGCCAATATATGGAAGCAACCTAAATACCCATCAATAAATGAATGGAAAAAGAAGATGTGGTATACATACACAATGGAATATTCCTGAGGCATAAAAAGAATGATATCTTACCATCTGCAACAACATGGATGGACCTCGAGGTACTATGCTAAATGACATGGCAGACAGAGAAAGGCAAGTACTACATGATTTCACTTATTGTGGAATCTAAAAACAAAACAAAACAAATGAACAAACATAAGAAAACAGAAACAGAGTTATAGATACCGAGAAGAAACAGGTGATTGCCAGAGGGGAGGGAAATGGGGTGAA